CAATGAAACAATCTACTTCAACGGGCAATACCCATCCTCACACTTCTACCAGTGAGCGTATCTTTAGTTTGGCTGCATTGTCTTTCCATGTGGACTGTTTCCAAAAAACAAAACCAGATAATCTCCAGAAAACTTCAGCATGATATCTCAACGTCCCCTTCTACAGGCATAGGCAGGAAGCCTGTAGCAGTCGTAGGTCGCTTGCGAACATCTTTTTGCCGCCCGTCTTTGCGAGTCAGCGACGGAGGCCATCTCAACATCGATGACTGTCGTCCCGTTTGGAGGTAACCAGCTACATTAAAGGAAACACCACAAACAGCAAAATTACTTAATATTACTTACATTGCCTACATTTCTTCCAGTCCTTCAATTTCTGCTGGTTCTTCGGCCATCCTTGGTATAATTGGAAATAAAAGAAAGTCATTATTATTCAGAATCTACACAAATAGCAACATTTTTATACACAATTTTTTGTAAAACATTTTCAAATTGTTGAAGGTCTTGTCTGTCAACTTGATTATGAAGAACAGCAATAAACATAAAAGGATTTCTTTGTTGTATACCGAGTATATTTGACATTTTCCCTCTCTTTTTTTTTTCTATTTTTCTGCTTCTTCAACAGGGACATCAGAAAGAAACAATCAATGAAACAATCTACTTCAACGGGCAATACCCATCCTCACACTTCTACCAGTGAGCGTATCTTTAGTTTGGCTGCATCGTCTTTCCATGTGGACTGTTTCCAAAAAATAAAACCAGATAATCTCCAGAAAACTTCAGCATGATATCTCAACGTCCCCTTCTACAGGCATAGGCAGGAAGCCTGTAGCAGTCGTAGGTCGCTTGCGAACATCTTTTTGCCGCCTGTCCTCGCGAGTCAGCAACGGAGGCCATCTCAACATCGATGACTGTCGTCCCGTTTGGAGGTAACCAGCTACATTAAAGGAAACACCACAAACAGCAAAATTACTTAATATTACTTACATTGCCTTCATTTCTTCCAGTCCTTCAATTTCTGCTGGTTCTTCGGCCATCCTTGGTATAATTGGAAATAAAAGAAAGTCATTATTATTCAGAATCTACACAAATAGCAACATTTTTAAACATAATTTTTTGTAAAACATATTCAAATTGTTGAAGGTCTTGTCTGTCAACTTGATTATGAAGACCAGCAATAAACATAAAAGGATTTCTTTGTTGTATTCCGAGTATATTTGACATTTTCCCTCTCTTTATTTTTCAGAATCTACACAAATCACAAAATTTTTGTTGATAATTTAAAAAATAAAATCCACCATATAGGTCATATTTTAAAGTTCTAGTTGGATATTGTGAGGTGACACTTCAGTTGAGTAGTCTTTGAGAAAAGATTGAGGATGAAACATTTTATTGAGTTCATTCAACATATTGAAAAATTCAAAGTATAGGCAAACAGGAAATTAGGCAAATGACAGATCTAAAACATGCTTACAGGTTACAACTAGTCACAGTTGAGCTGCAGACCAAATATAAATTCATTCTGTTCAATATCTTATGAGATTGATTATACAAAACAAGTAAAATTATTGGTATTGACATTTCTTATACAAGTTTCAAGTTGCACATTTTTTAACAATATTTGTTCTTTTTCAGTTGCTCTGGTACTTTTCAAATGTTTACCAGTGAATAAACAGATAACTGATTCAATAAAAAGTTATACTGAAAAAAAGTGTACTCTGCTAGCTTGCCTTTTCAAGAATGAAAATTTTAAATGGACTAATTGTTTCCAACTTTTAAAAGTGAATAGCTCTTTAAATTAAGACTATAATGTACTCAGTATATGATAAGTACTTTTAGTAACATTCTAAATATCTGAATTAAAAAATATTACATATGATGTAGCATTTTCCTGTTTTCATTGGATATTTACGATCACGTTTCAAGGATTATTTTATGTATTCGAAGCCTTGTTTCTATTTTTAAGTATATTGACGGTCAATATTAAAAATGTTGCTAAATTTAGATCTGGATATAAGCCATTCTGGTCCGAAATTACTTTACGTCATGACGTCACACATAGCAACCACGGAGGAAGAGCCACAGCAGACGAAAAAAAATTTGCAAGTTTATCAGAAGAAAATATGAATAATTTGATGTTAAATGCAGATGCTAAGAATACAAAAAAGCTAACGCATCAAGCTATGAAGTTGTTAAAAAAATATTCATATTTTCGATGGCATGTTAAAAGTCTTGCAAAATACAATTTAAAAATACACAGAAAGAACATTGAAATCCATTTTCCCAATACATTATTTACACATGTAATATATAAATTAAGGACTTTCACTCAGTCAATACGTTATATATGGACCTGTTAGATTATATTGACACTCGGACTTCGTCCTGGGTTAATATAATATGAACAGGTCCATATATAACGTATTGACCTCGTCAAAAGTCCATAATTGATAAATAATTATCTCTCCTATTAAGTAAGTATATTAACATATATCATCCTCAAGTTTGGCTATAAAAATTGTTTGGTTCCTTAAATTTATGCAAAACAATGAAAATTTCTGAAAAAAAATCTGTTTAGTTGCACAAATCCTTAAAGCCTTGCTATCAATTATTAAAAAAATAATGAAACCTTTGATAAATATTGAATTAAAATCTTGTTAACACTTAAAATATCTGTTTGAAACAAACTCATTTATACTCATGATGTCTACGGTCAAAGTCAGTCAGATGTTTTAATGAACAGAATAGTTCAATGCAACTAACAAACATCATGTGATTTCAGCCTGCAACCTCACTCAAAAGGTGCTACCACTGGTGGACCTTCTTACTGTGGTCATTAGTGACACATCATTTATATATTTTGTCAGAAGTCTTCGTGTTTCAGTCAAGGTGCAGTTTTTTGTGGTGTATAGTCTTTAAGAGAAGAAATGAGTATTGTAAAAAATCTTTTAAAATAAAAGTCCTTTAAAAGTATGAACATATTAAGGACATTACATTACAAGAAAGATGTTATATGATGTAGGATACACATTGGACATGTTAGTGCTCTAATAGGGGGTCTCCATGCTATTACTCATAATGATTTGTGTTTAACAATGACATCCTACATCATATACTTCATGTTTTGGAAAAATGCAAACAAAATCTTTCATTGATGTAAGCATGGCTAAGGATAATGCAAAAATTTCAATTTCTTTTTTTCCTTTAGTTATGTTAAGGAAATTAATGCCAAGGGTCTCTGATAATACATAAAAGAAACAATTTGAGAAAGCCAATAATGATATCATGTAGATTTTTGTTTAAAAAATAAAGAATTAAAAAAGGTATTCACATGACGTGTGAGCATTGTCGGATAGAAATAGATCTTTAATATGCAAGTGCATGACTCAGTATACATGTACGAAATAAAAGATGACTTTTGGTCTGTTTTGTAGAGTTCTTATACCAACTAAATTTTTAAACAGTTAGACTTTAGTAGAGATTTTTTTAACCCGAATTAAGTTAACAGATGTATGATATATTCATTTGCATATTAGGTTGATTTCTATCCAACGAGGCTCATGTACTATATTATTATTCACTTTTATAATAAAAATATAAACGAAAAAATGAAAAACAAAATTCAAATTAAAACATACAAAAACTTTTAATAGTGGTGATAAATTTGACACAACCTAGAAATAAGATGGGTCAGGGAGCGGCAACAATAATTTGCTTTACTGTAAGACATGTAAGATAAGTATTACTGTAAATTCAGAAATTATTGCGAGGTTTTTATTAATGCGAATAATGGGACTCATGGGTGAGTATCGCAATAACAAGAATCGCATTCTGATATCTGATACATAAATCTGTATGCTGTTTTTCATGGAATTGCAATAATTAATCGTCCATAATCTTCAAAAATCACAATAATTTCAGAATTTACAGTATCTAGCTATACCAAAACTATCAACTGAATATCACACATAAATAAAAATAAATATCATGTGGTCAGAGTTATCTCCCATTGATTAAATGTCAACTTGTAAAAAATTTGAAGTACCTTAGGAACTGAAAAAGAAACAATCTGAAATAATATAGGCCAATGAGAAGGTTTCTAATTAGATGCATATCAAAATAAAGAGCTGTGCTATGAACGCATGATATGCCCATCGGTTTTTTAACGAATAAAGTTCCATTACTCCTCAATGTCATATCATATTTTTATAAAAAACGAAAGGGAGCTTATTTTGATAGATATAAACCATTCGCCAAAGTTTCATGAGATCTGCTGAAAGCATTTTTGAGTTATTGTCCAAAAACTGGAAAATCCCCCTTTTTAATGAATAAAATCCCACAACTCAGAAACGTCAAATCTAAAATTTATAAAAATCTAAAGGGAGCCTACGTCAATATATATAAACTATTCAAAGTTTCATGAGAATTTGTTGAAGCAATTTTGAGTTATTGTCCGACATTGTGACAACCGACAAAGGTATACAGTATACCATAAAATGTCCCGTAAACAGGCGTATAAAAATCATGTGATAAAAATTTCATATTTTTGTACAAGATAATTTTATTTCTTGATAAATATTTGCCAGTTTTGCATTTACTTTTATCAATAATGCCACAAAAAATTACTTACCATGTTCAATTATAACCGTATTCTTACCATACCGCTCAGAAACAGCAAGAGCTGTGTAACTCATGTACAAACATTGCTTACTCTTTAAGTCTGTTTTCCAACAATGTTGGGTTTCTCTAAAATATTGGTTTTACAGTTAAAGTTTAAAACTGACAATTTTATATTTTTTTTCAACTAAATTATTTTTTTTCTATAAAAATGAAAAGTTTATGTGTTTTATTCAACTTTTTTTTTTAAGAATGTTATCCAATTTAACAAAGACACTGATGAGTCATCATCACCACATCTTTATTGATCAGTAAATACCACCTGGCAGTGGGCAAGAGGTTGTGGGTTCAATTCCCAACAAAGTCAAACAAGAGTGCAGTGACGCTGAAATGTCTCGCCTTCTTTATTAATCATTGATATTATGTTGATAGTCCTAAATATAAAGCTTTATTACAACTGTCACATAAACTTAACATTAACCAAACAAGAGTGCACACGCTGAAATGTCTCGCCTTCTTTACTAATCATTGATATTATGTTGATAGTCCTAAATATAAAGCTTTATTACAACTGTCACATAAACTTAACATTAACTAAGTAAACTAAACATTGACCAATAAACCATGAAAATGAGGTCAAGGTCAGATGAACCATGCTAGGCAGGCATGTACAGCTAACAATTCTTCCATACAACAAATATAGTTGACCTATTGCTTATAGTTTAAGAAAAACAGACCAAAACACAAAAACTTAACACTGAGCAATGAACCTTGAAAATGAGGTCAAGGTCAAATAAAACCTGCGTGACTGACAAATAGATCATAAAATATTTCCATACACCAAATATAGTTGAACTATTGCATATAGTATTAGAAAAAAAGACCAAAACTCAAAAACTTAACTTTGACCACTGAACCATGAAAATGAGGTCAAGGTCAGATGACACCTGCCCGCTAGACATGTACACCTTACAATCATTCCATACACCAAATATAGTAGACCTATTGCATACAGTATAAGAAAAACAGACCAAAACACAAAAACTTAACTATAACCACTGAACCATGAAAATGAGGTCAAGGTCAGATGATACCTGCCAGTTGGACATGTTCACCTTACAGTCCTTCCATACACCGAATATACTAGACCTATTGCTTATAGTATCTGAGATATGGACTTGACCACCAAAACTTAACCTTGTTCACTGATCCATGAAATGAGGTTGAGGTCAAGTGAAAACTGTCTGACGGGCATGAGGACCTTGCAAGGTACGCACATACCAAATATAGTTATCCTATTACTTATAATAAGAGAGAATTTAACATTACAAAAAATCTGAACTTTTTTTTCAAGTAGTCACTGAACCATGAAAATGAGGTCAAGGACATTGGACATGTGACTGACGGAAACTTCATAACATGAGGCATCCATATACAAAGTATGAAGCATCCAGACCTTCCACCTTCTAAAATATAAAGCTTTTAAGAAGTTAGCTAATGCCGCCGCTGCCGCCGCTGCCGTAGCTGGATCACTATCCCTATGTCGAGCTTTCTGTGACAAAAGTCGCAGGCTCGACAAAAACTAAACATTGACAAATGAACTCTGAAATTGAGTTTAGATCAGATGAACCATGCCAGGCAGACATGTACAGCTAACAATTCTTCCATACAACATATATAGCTGACCTATTGCTTATAGTTTAAGAAAAACAGACCATAACACAAAAACTTAACACTGAGCAATGAACCGTGAAAATGAGGTCAAGGTCAAATAAAACTTGTGCGACCGACATATAGATCATAAAATATTTCCATATAATAAATATAGTTGACCTATTGCATATAGTATTAAGAAAAAAAACCAAATTCAAAAACTTAACTTTGACCACTGAACCATGAAAATGAGGTCAAGGTCACATGAAACCTGCCAGCTAGACATGTACACCTTACAATCATTCCATACACCAAATATAGTAGACCTATTGCATACAGTATAAGAAAAACAGACCAAAACACAAAAACTTAACTATAACCACTGAACCATGAAAATGAGGTCAAGGTCAGATGACACCTGCCAGTTGGACATGTACACCTTACAGTCCTTCCACACCGAATATACTAGACCTATTGCTTATAGTATCTGAGATATGGACTTGACCACCAAAACTTAACCTTGTTCACTGATCCATGAAATGAGGTCGAGGTCAAGTGAAAACTGCCTGACGGGCATGAGGACCTTGTAAGGTACGCACATACCAAATATAGTTATCCTATTACTTATAATAAGAGAGAATTTAACATTACAAAAAATCTTAACTTTTTTTTCAAGTAGTCACTGAACCATGAAAATGAGGTCAAGGATATTGGACATGTGACTGACGGAAACTTGGTAACATGAGGCATCTATATACAAAGTATGAAGCATCCAGGTCTTCCACCTTCTAAAATATAAAGCTTTAAAAACATTAGCTAACGCCGCTGCCGCTGGATCACTATCCCTATGTCGAGCTTTCTGCGACAAAAGTCGCAGGCTCGACAATGACTATTTGTGATAAAAAAATAGTTGTTTGGAGTCTGAATGTTTCTGATTACTGTGACTGAGGTCTTCCATCAGACTGTTGACTTGTGAACTTAGCAAGTCAAAGGTCAATTGTGAGTCTAGTACATGCAGGTTTACTTACATGTTCTCGTCCTGAATATGTATGTAATATTTGCCACTGGACACAAACACCAATCCATATATGTTTCACCTAATTTCTAATGATTGATTGAACACTAATATTTAAAGCCACTTTCAGCACTCTTGGCTATATCTCTGGCCAGTTTTTTAATGATAGAGAAATCCAAAGTACCGCTGCCCCTACTTTCTGATATTTTCATATCTCATGAAAACAAAATTGCTGACTATACCTGTAGCCACCATTGGGTAAGTTTCTATACGGTTTCTCAGCTATCCTTTCCAAAAGGGCTACCATGGGGGAAGTTGTTAAACTGTCACTCAGCTCTCCTATTTGCCAGGCCTCCACTGGGGGGAAATGATATACCATCACTCTGTCCTCCCTAGATACATCAAAACACCATTATATAAGATGACCCCAAGTTTCAAACTTAGAATCGGAAAACTGAAATGAGATGTAAATCATAAAAGTCGATGAAGTTGAAAATTAAGTTAGAATAATCTGTTTAAGGGGACGACCATTTGATATTCTGTGCGGGGGGGGGGGGGGGGGGGGGGGGGGGGGGGGGGGGGGCAGGAGGATTTGTTTTGGATCGGTTATTTATTTTTGTAAAATAAGAGGACAGATTATTTATTTTCTGCACTGTTGAAGCAAGATTTTTCATTTTCATTAAAACAAGGGACTGATTATTTATTTTCATAACTATATTAATAATATTTGAAAACATACAATTTTTAAATTCATTTTTTATTATAAATAATACATGAACAGTCAAGTCATTAATGTACCATTTAATCATAATTAATCATCATCCTCTGCGGAAATGAATCTTCTGAATTCCAAACTGCATATACATGTATTGCATACATACACGGTATTAGAGTTGGGGCTGTGACTAGCATTTTTTAAAAGTATTGCCAAATATTTACGCCGAGCGGAGCGAGGCAAAAACATTTTGAAGGGTTTTGAAGCTGCTAAAGGCCCAAAGAAACTATAGAACAAATGATGCAAAATCGTGCTTTCTGGGCGTTCCCAGACCCTATCTTATTCTAAAAAACACAAGTTCTGTTTTAATAAATTTTTGACAATATTTTGGTCTCAAAGCAAAATGTATAGATTCAGCGTAAGACTTAAGTTTTTATGGACAACATCAAAAGACCAATATGAAGAATAAAGTAAAAATGTAATTCACATCGTTAAGTATGTGGCTGCTGTTTTTTATTCAAATTAAGTTAAGAGGGGGCTGATTATCAGCGATATAACTATGTCAAGTAATTTTTAATAACACATTTCAATTACAACTTGATGTAGCTCTTAACTGGGATACAATTTAAAGTAGTTAAGTTGTAAAATTAGCTAAAAAGTCTTAAATAAAATAAAACTCATGATCAAGTTGAAAACAAAATTACTAAATCACAAAAGGAATGCAACACTAAGAGAATACAGAAGGGCAATCAATGAACAAAAGACAAATTTAAAGAAAAATTGATCCCGAAAAAACAGGTGCTACGTCCAAGGGAGAACAGAACTTGCTTCTTGCAAACACTCGCTGTGAAAACAATTTGATATGAAGACAAGCTTTTGGTTTTAAAATTTCCTACATAAAGGCATTTGCCTCAATGTAGTTACAGCCCTGTAATAAAAGTGAGGTAAGTGTTCCTGAGCCAATATACCTCAAGTTAAATGAAACCCATTTTCAGACATTTCAAGTATATTTAATTAATATTTATACCTTTATTATTAAAAGATTTGGGAAGTGTTTCCCGAATTTTTTTTTGAAAAAAGATGAATTTTATGAAGAATCTGGTGCCACCTCATACTTTCGAATAGCATTTATAAAATGGCTCTCAGACCTGCCGAGTTATTCATTTTCAATACATTGTAAGTCAGGTTATTTATTTTCGAACTACCACAGAACAAACCATTTATTTTTGTGATTATCAAGGCTGAGTTATTTATTTTCAAAATCCTCCTGGGTAATTTATGTGTTCTTTAATTTAATTTACCGGTCTACTCGATTCGCATATTCTCTCATTTAAATATGTCAACTTTTATTGACAAGAGGATTTTGGACTTGAAATGAATATCCTGGACTGGTAACAATAAAAGACATAATCAAGCCATAAACAGGAGGGATATGAATATTCTGCCTAACAAAATACAGACTAGTAAACAATGTTGAACAAAAAGCCCAGCAACAGGCGAAAATGAAGATTTCGTCTGAGAAAAAATTCCCTCATCAGAAAACCAAATGGTCGTGCCCTAAATATATTTAAAAGTGGTCGAAACATATATAGTCCATGTGTTTTAACTCGTTCTCTACATTGAAGTTAAACATTCATAATGTGTAAGCATTAAATTACAGTTACATGGCCATTTTGTGGTGTCGGTAAAGAAAGAATAAGACTGACCTGACCGATGATATAAGTAATTTCCATCCACAAAGTCAAGATATTAAATAGGTGTTTATTTTCAAACAACCAGTTCAGTGTTATGTGTTAACTTCAAAATCATGACTTCCCTCGTAAGTAAAAATAGAACAATAGAATTTACCCGCCAAAAAATTAACCAATAAATGGATAGCGGCTTAATGAACCGTGAATCAGGAAATAAAGACGTGCACTAAAACTTTTAACTGGGATTTAATATTGAGCCTAGACTAAGTCTAGGTTCCACGTCAATCATGAGCAAAATCAATTGGCAATAACGTGTAGTCAGTTATAAAAGGTCTCGATATTTCAAAATGTGAAACATATCAAACGAGGTAAAAAAGAGTTAATTAATGACAAAACAGAAAATAGATGTAACAACTTAACAGCAAACAACGACAACCATCCAGACTTGCGACAAGCACATGAAGATTTGGTATGGTTAAACATGTTTGTGAGCGCTCAACCTCCTTTTAACTTGGAAAAATGGTGTATCCACAAGAGCGCCAATAAAAAAAAGTATACAAACATTGCATTGTGAAACTTTTTTTAGTCAGTTTAAAGCACCGACCATTTATTCATTTTAGGGGTTGATTCTTACTTTTGTTTTAGATGGGAAGTAAGATCGTTTTATCTTAGAGTCGAGAACAAATGTTTGTCCTATAAGACTCCCCCCCTCACTAAAAAAAAAGACGAATAGATGAATGATCGGTGCATAAAAATATGTTTTCTATGTTATTAAAATATGAGGTCAATGTACTTATTAAACCTATATTAGGCGTGTTTGATTTGTCAATACTTGTCCATTTCCTGAGGCTCGATCTTTACATGTGCATTATTATAGTGTTAGTAGTGCAAATGTAGTTTGCACATATTAAAAAATTTAAAAGTATGTCATTGTAATAATCATGAAATATTTTCAGCCCATACTTTTTGGGGGATAAATGATTGTAAGGTTATCATCAGTCAATGTACATTTGAGGCATACTAACAAATAACTAAGCCTCAATGTCGGGAACAGTACAAAACAAATAGACCAAGGTCAGTAGTAACAAGTGCCATGATATTTTGACCCTGCTCTCTAAATTATAAGCCGTCTTTTATATCTGTGTTCAAGTTAGGGGTCATCCTGGTGATACTCCAAGCTTGAAATCCCCTCCCCTGTTTGTATGCATCTGTATTTAAAGAGAGGCGAAACGGGTACCGGAGGGACATTCAAACTTATAAGTGGAAAATAAACTGACAAACTGACAACGCCATGGATAAAAATGAAAAAGACAAATCGACAAACAACAATACAAAAGCACAACATAGAAAACTAAGGGAGCT